TGGTGGGATGGGTGGCCAGTGGTCCGGCGTGCCTGGTTGCCCACCCTGGGGCTTGCAGCGCTGCTGTGCCACAGGCCCCAAGGCCATGCATGGGCAGGGGGGCGCGTGGCTGGGTTCACCTCATGGCATGGCTTTGTGGGATGTTAATTGGTCTTACAGAACAATTCTTTTTGGTGTGAGGGTCTGGGACAGCCTCGTGCTTTCCTACTCAAAACTCGTCGGTAGAACCCCCAAATTAGGGCTGCAGTGCATGTATATGTCTGTGTGTTTGTGCCAATAAATGTTTACTCTTCATTCTAAGATCTCCGTGCTAGAGGTATTTAGCCACGTGCTTAATTTTATGCACTTGATGACTTCCACGGAGAGTGATTGCTGGTGCGTGTGGAGAGTAAACTACAGGCAAAAAGGGAGAGAGCGCTGTGGGTACCCTCCCTGTGCGGAAGCGTAAATTTCACCTGTGGGATGAAGATCTGGCTGACAGCTGAGTAGTGTAAGTTGTTTTCTGTACAAAAACCTCAAATAAAATGTTTTAAAAAACAGTTTATAGGGTGAACAGTTTTTTTTTCCCTCTGAAAATTCCACTTAGGACCAGAAACTCGGGTGTGATTTTCTCCCTCTGGCTGCTGCTCCCGGCACTAGCACAGGCTCATGGTGGCGGGTGGCCCGGAGCAGAGAAGATCATCGTGTCCCATGGCTTTGCTCCTTGGGATGGACGGGTGATGGATGGTAAGGAAGAGGCAGCTCCAGGCTGAGCCAGCCCAAGGGCATAAAGTGTCTAGACGTCGAGATTTTAACCCATTCTCACCATAACCCATAAACAGGAGGTCTCCTTGGTTCAGAGACCTGAAGGAAGGCAGGTGAGTTGTAAAATCTCCTTCTCACCCTGTTACGCAGTCTCCTTTCTGTTGGTGCTTGGGAGGAAGGCCTTGACCCAGAAAATACTAAAACTGGATGTATTCCCGCAGAGGACAATGGAGCTGATCCCATGCTTGAAGACGCCCTTGCCTTAAGCTGCGATTTCACAGCTTTCCAAGAGCAGGAAGATAAGCTCTCCAGCAGTTATTTCACTATCAGTGTGAATGTGTCTGATATGTTTTATCTGGGAAGGTGTTCACAGAGGCAGATGGACAGTGTATAAAAGCCTTTATGGAAGGTAAAACTATGGCAGCCCACAAAGCTTCTGTTTTATTACTGACACTTTCAATTGCAAATGAGAGCATAGGAAATTTTATAGTGATTTTCATTGTGACGATATCCCAGCTGGGAGATTTTCTGTTTCATATACACGGGGTGGAACTCTGTGCCTCGATTTAATAGGGTTGTTTAGCTGAAAAAAATTGCATGTGGGGGTGCTTGCAGGGTTTGACCCTAAATATTTAGGACACCTCTCAAAGCAAAGCGCAGATTTTTCACATTGGAACAATTTATCAGGTTCTGTGGTGAACTGGCTATATTGGCATGTTTAAAACCACAGGATATGCTTGTCTCTAAAAAATAGTTAAACTTCAGGGAGATGTATGGACTGGGTAGCACGGGATGCCAGTGTGTGTGAACGCGGTATTCCTGGCCTTAAAATTTTGCATACAGCCTTACGTACATTTTCCTAAGTGCAAATTAATAATTGCAATTAATAATTGCACACTTTCATAACCACCAAAATTCATTCACCTGTACCGTGTGGCCAAAAAAACAGAAAAAAGGAAAGAGGCAATTTTCTGTCTGGTTTGTGTGCCAGGATTAGCTGTGCAGGAGCAGCCTGAGACTGATCTTTACTTCCCTTTGTCTTTCTAGGGTGATGCTTTAGGAACTAATTAAGGATGGTCTCAGTGCATGCGTGTGTGCTTGTGTGAGCATGCAGGAGGGAGAAGCCAACATGGTTAAACAGTTTCCCAGGCAGCAAACCAAATTCTTGGGGAAAGCTGAGTGACAGGATCCAAGAAGAAGAGTTTAAGTGGAGGTACGTGCTCGTAACATCCTGTCCAAACAATCACCAGGAAATTCGGCAGTCCCACCTCCTGGGATGTTGGTTTGGCTGCAGCATGGCGTGCAAGTGCCACGATCCCTGGTACGGCCGGCTCTGGTGCAGGGAGGCTTGGTTCTGCCAGCACTCATTTTTGAAAAGGATTTACTCGAATAAGAGAGAAAGTTGCAGGGTGATGGTCTGGATTACTTACATGGGTGCCAGGTGGAGGATCGTCCCCAGCGCCCCAGGCAGAGCCCCCAGGGCTGTCCCTGCCCCAGGAGGCAGCCTGTGTCCCCTGGTAGCCATCGGCAGATGGGTGCCTCTGCCAGGCTATTCTCATGCAGAACGTGTCACTGATGGACTCATCAGAGCTGAGGACAAGCTGAGGACAGCAGTTCCAGCAGTTCCTAGTTACAGATATGCGTGCTTGTTCACCACAAATACTGGAATGAAAGCAGCAGCACAAGGCAATGGGACACGGACACACATACACACACACAGAGATGGAAATAGAATAATAAAAACAGTGCAATCCAGAATGAGCCAGAGGATCAGTGCACCCTACTTCAGGTGCATTTTTCAGCTTCATTCCATCTGTCAAACTCCAAAAGCTTCCTCAGCGCTTGGAGAGTGTTACCTGGGCAAGGGTCTTATTATATATTCCCAAGAGACCAACTCTTGGGGTGTCACTGTCCTGTTCTCTGATGCTACTTTCTAACCAAAGCTCTCAAAGCCCTTTGCAGTCACCCCAAGGTCAGCCTTGGAGCACCTTCCTAAAGTGGGAGAGCATTGCCTGCACTTGCTGGCCAGAGGAAGGCCTGGAAAAGGTCGGAGTGTGTGAAGGAGCTGGAGGGAAAACCCAGACGCCTTTCACCCTGGTTGGTGCTGAGCCCTCCCGCTCTCTGTGTGTTCTGCCCATCTGCAGTGTCTGCCTTGGGCTGTATGGACTCAAGAGAACGTCTCTCTACGTGGGCTGAGGGATGCTACAACTCCTCCCTGCTTACTGCTGTGATGGAGATAGCCCAACGGAAACCTTGGAGGGGTTAGTTCTGTTCCCAGGGGAGGCTGATATAAACGAGGTCTCTGAGACCAGAATTTCAGTTTCTCCTGCAGTTTAATGCCCTTTCCTTTCCC